GCCCCAGCATTCAGACTTACCCTCCCTCCCCATCTCGCTTCATGCTTTCCCCGGATAACTCCACCTCACTTGAGGCTCTGACCCTCTGCCTAACGCCCAACCTACCTCCCCAGCCTTTGCTTTTCTTCAGGCCTGGACCTTGTCTCCAGCTGCCCCACCAGACACACCGCAGCACCTGGGGACAGCCTCTCTGCACCACCTAACAGGTGACTTCTTCACCTTCCCTGTCTGCCTCCTCCTGAACTCCCTAAGTCATGATGTCACCATTCACTCAGTCACCCACGTTAAGAAGACTACTTTGGGCTGGCGCCGCAGCTCACTTGGCTAATCCTCCACCTGCAGCGCCAGCACCCCGGGTTCTAGTCCCCGTTGGGGCGCCAGATTCTGTCCCGGTTGCTCCTCTTCCAGTCCAGCTCTCTGCTGTGGCCCAGGAAGGCAGTGGAGAATGACCCAGGTGCTTGGGCCCTGCACCCGCATGGGAGACCAGGAGGAAGCACCTGGCTCCTGGCTTCAGATCAGCACGGTGCGCCAGCCGTGGCGGCCATTACGGGGATGAACCAATGGAAGGAAGACCTTTCTCTCTGTCTCTCTCTCTCTCACTGTCTAACTCTGTCTATCAAAAGAAGACTGGTTTGTTGATAATGCATGGTGTCACCAAAGCTCATATTCTAAAGACATAAAAGCAAGCACTTTACACTCTGAAATAAAGTCTTCCATGGCCTACCTAGCTTTTAAGGCCTTTTTTTTTTCTTTTTTTGAAGTAGAGGGAGTCCAAGAGATGTTCCATGTGCTGGTTCACTCCCCAAATGTCTGTACTAGGCAGGTCTGGGACAGGCTGAAGCCAGGAGCCAGGAACTACATCCAGGTCTCCCATGTGGGTTCAGGGGCCCAAGCACTTGGGCCATCCTCCACTGCTTTCCCAGGTGCATTAGCAAAGAGCTGGACTGGAAGCAGAGCGGCCGGGACTCCAACCTGGTGCACTGATACGGGATGCCGGGGTCTCAATGGCAGCTGAACCACTGCCACAACACAGACCCTGGACTGCCTAACCAGTACTGTTAGCAGGAGACGGGCCCCTTTCTCTCCAGCAGGAGGCACCAGACCTCATGCAACCCCAGCCCACTTGCAGGGCCTCATCTCCTCCCAGCCCTCAGCACCTTCCGCTGCTTTGACTGCCGGTGGTTCTTACACATCTCTAGCCCTGTGTGTGTTGCTGCAGCTGCTGCTGTCTAAAGCAGTGATTCTCAGGAGGGGGCAACTGTGCCTCTCAGGTCAGGGACATTGGGCAAAGTCTGGAGGTCTTGTTTGGTTATCCCTCTAGGGCACAGGGGTGTTACTGACATTTGGTGGGTAGGGGTGCCCAGACATGCCAGGAGTGCTGAGAGTGAGAAGCCCTGCCCTCTGCTCTCCTTGATTTCTCTGCCTGGGGAACTCTGAGTCACCTATCTAACATCACACTCTCTGTGGGGCCTTCCTCCACTGACCAGAACAATACTATCAGATCTCTTTCATATCCACCTCTATTTTAGCACATTACACTGAAAAAAAAATTTTTTTTGGTTTGCCTGTGTGTAGCCTAGTAAAGGTCGACGAGAAGGGACTTGCCCCAAAACAGAGAATGTGTTTTATTCATTTTTATTCCCAGCACTTGGGACAGTGCCTGGCACTCAAATGTGTGATAGACACGTGAACAGAAGAAGCTAGATCTACAGAGAATGCAAAGTATTTCCAAGCCCAGAATCAGCTCCCTGAGCCTCCCTGAAATTAACATCAATCCTCAGTTCCAGGAAATACACAAATACATTGTTCACCCAATTTCTAAAACTGGTCATTAACATTTTTGCATCACAGTTTTAGAGTCAATATTTATAAATTACATTGATTTTTATAGAAAATATCAAGTGTTGTTCAAAATAAACTCAACCAAATGTCTGAATATTCTGCTAAGTCTAGTAAAATAATGACTGGGAAAATAATGGGATGCTAAAATTAATATATATTTAAAACATTTATTTTAGGAAGAACAGCTAAATAGAGAAATGACTGAAAGGTATAATCTTGAGATTAGTGTTAAAGATTTTGGATTCATTGAGACATACATTTGAACCAAGTTCTGCTACAGCAGGTTTAAGCAATTTACCTACTCAGAATTAAATAGCAGAAAATGCATAAAAAAGGTTTATAACAAAAACTAAAAATATGTTTCTAATGAAAATATGCATATCAGCAAAGAATGGAAGACATGTAGAAGCTTGGGCAAAATACTAAGAAACATCAAATACTAGGGTAATGAAGTCTCTGCGTATGCTAACATTATCATACAGGAGACAGAAAATAAAAGATTAAAAATTAATAATAACAGGGGAAAGTAACTGCTATACAGATTTTGGAAATCTAGTAAAAATTCTGCCCTAAGAAGCACCTTAGCTCCTCAACTGATTGAGCTAAGAAAATACTGCACACAATGATAAAACACTGAATCTCCAGTTTCAGGTCAACAGTCGTTACACAGCCTTGACAAAAGTACCAGTGTTCAAATAAAGGCACATACAGTAACCAAATGCCAGATATTGTTATGTTCTCTGCCCTGCCTTACAAATAAACACTATCACACAGACTGCAGAGTCTCATCTTTATTCTAAGCTGTAAACACAGAACAGAGCCTGTGTCCCAGATACAGGTAAAAGTTCTCACTGGATTTTAAAAATTAGTCATTAATGAGCTGTTGATCATAGGCAGCCAGAAACTCGATATTGTGCTGCTGCAAACTGGTAGCTGAACACACAGAAAAGAATCTAGACCTCTCAGGGCTTTAGAAACCAGGGTCTCCGGGCAAAGCAGTGATTTAATTTCTCGGCTGCTCGGTACAGATAGCTGACATTACTAAATGCTACTCTAATATCAACTTGTTAACTGTGAGTCCAGACTCAGCATATCAGAATACGAACCCAGACTAACTGGAGACATGGGAAATATTTTGGGAGCTGTTTATTTATAAGTGAGTTACAATATACCACTATAATTAGATTAATATATAATTATTGATAAACAAAGGATTATTTCTAAAACCCCATTATTGTTGCCACTGCTATGTTTAGAAAAAGCAGTATTAGTGTGTTCCTCATAAAATAAGTCCCTGCTTTACTACTTATCAATTACAGCAATTTAGATCTAGTATAAAAGGAACTTAGCCGTCACTACTGTTTACAATACTTTTACAAAATTGTTTAATGAACATTTAAGGGAGGACTACTTTAAAGCTCTCTGGCAAACTGCATACTTCTGCACTATTTTATAATCCAATAATTCACTATAAAATAAAATCTGCACAAAACTAGGTGTTTGATTACTGCAAAAAAAATTTAAGGTGGCATACCTAGATGTAAATAAAACTGCTAAAAATGTATATTCCCAGCAATGCAAAAGGCATTTAATTCACATTCCATAAAAAGCCCTTTAAAAATACCCTTTTTCAAAAGCACCAACAAAACCAGCTTATAATATTGCCAGAAAATCAACTGCATTAATATTTCTATTACATTAATTATTCTTTACAGATTAATTATTTAATTAAGTGTAAAATAAATTTGCAACTTGTATCAGGTTCAAATCGACAGCTTTTAATATGTTTCTTTACAGTGTCACTTCATTTCTTTCTGTAGGGGAAAATAGTTGAAGGGATTATAATCTCCCAAAAGCTGATTTTAAACAAGTTTTCTAAATGGAGTGAGCAATTCTAAAACATACATCAGAATCTGAAATCTGATCTTATTTCATCCTCAGTAAGACACTGCCTATATTAACTTTGGGCATGGGCAACAATGATTATATTTATCAGATCTCTAAAGACAGAAAACAAATGAGCTATTACTTCACATCGACCTAAAACTACTTGTCCAGAAGTTGTTTTTTTTTCTGTTTTAATCTTTAATACAGATACCGAATGTTACATAAACACAAACAGATACGTCCCTCCCCCCACAAAAAGAAAAAACCCATTATGTCCTGTCATCTAGAAGAGGTTTAGTCAGAGAAAAATTGTAAATTTCCTAGACTCTGGCAAGAGCTTCCAAATACAGAAACTCAAAAATCTATTTGTGTTCAAAATACTTTAAATACTTTGGAAAGGCCATATTATATAAAGAATTGTTTTGGCTAAGATTTACTAGAGTTAAAATCACTAGTATAATAAAGCAAACTGTCAAAACAACAAATTATTAAGCTAAGTAGAAAATTATGGGAAATGCCTAGCAACTGAAACCAAATTCACACATAGAAAACTCAGAATTTAATATTGTTGAAAAGAATGAGCTATATTTTAGAAGGCAGTATTAACTGGTGGCTAAAGAAAAATAGGGTGGAAACAAAATTCCTGTGGTTGGGGTCTATACAGACGCAGATGCCACTTAGTTTTCCTCTGCTCTGCACATGCAGTATGGTAGTTTCATCAGTGATGTTATAAATACATATATTTTATGGAAATTTTTCTCCTACAGTCATTTGTAATAAGATCTTCACACTTCACATAGCTTTTTGTTTACTATCATTTAGAAACATTCTGTCTTACTTCATTTCACAATAGTAAGGGAAGGGAGGACAGCAAATGAGCATTTTTGAAAGTAGGAATAAAATAAGGAGTTATTTAATAAAATAGTACGCCACTTGAGAAAAAAAAATAAACCAAGATACAATGTTTTGAAGTAGGTTGTTATTTAAAACTTGCTGTTATGCCATTTAAACATTTTATTGCTTAAATCACTTAGGAGAGGTTTAAAAAGATATAGGAAATATATATATATATAAAATATACAGGAAACTGCTAAATTAACAAAGTGAGAAAACTATCAGAGATTCTTTGGATTTATAAATATAATGTTTCTGACTATATAATACTTGGTAGCTAAGGATCAGGAAATGCTAACTTAATAAATGTTAACAAAATATTTCAGTAAGCTATTCTAGTGTAAAATTATCATATACCAAGACCAAAGGAAACTTACCTTACAAGAATTAGACAGTTCACTTGTGACATCTCTACTGTCAACTTCACCTTCATTTCCAGATGCAAACTTTATGAGTAATTGAGATGGTCCCCCCTTAGAACAATTGTGCTTAAGGCTGGATAAACAGGCAATATTTGGATAAGTTCCTCCCAATGAAATACTCCTTTGTAAAATGGCATGGCTTTTGTTTATCTGTGAATTTGGTCTTTCCAACTCTCCACTGACATTTACTTGGTAATCTACATTTTGGGAGGATGGCAAACATGCAGATGTCTTGTGCACAAGCTTGCTACATTCTGAATCGGAATTAAGCTTAACTCCCGACTTCTCTGGTTTACAATGACCACTCGTAGTTTTGCCATCTACTGTGGTCACCTTGTGTTGGGTGAAATGCACTGAAAGGCAAGAATATCCTTCAGGCGACTTCTCACAGGCAGTCTGTTTCGGACTATTATTTGAAAGGACAATTTTCTTCTGCAATGAGCCCTTCCCATGAAGCGACCGGATGTCTCTCACTTCTCCAGCAGTGCAAATTGTTTTAGATAACCGAAGTCCATTGACGGCTGTGGAAAGAAATCCCTTAGAAATAGTACCATCTTCATTATGTGCAATTTCACTAGGAGACACGAGCAACTGGTGAGAAGTTTGATAGGAGCCTTTGCTTGGAAGAGTACCTGTGGTTGTTGGAGAAGCTGGTGGGGTACTTGAAGGACTCCTAGGAAAAATCACTAAGGATGAGCAGCGCTTGAGTGGAATTTTCGGGTTCCTGCTCAATGGCAATTTCATAATCTCTATTCCAGGCTCCAAGTCATCCTGGACAAAAGGAACAGTACTTGTACTTCTTGAAAAACTTTCACAGGGAGTAGTATTCCTGTTTGGCACACTTCTGTTGGAGGTGCTGTCAGAATATAAATTTCCACCAAAAAAAGTATCATCGCTTGAGGGAAAAGTATAACCACTACTGTCGCTGATGACACTGTTCGTGTACGACCCTCCACTTGTGATACTTGCACATGACCCATAATCACTACCGGTGCTGCTGTAAGATCCATTATCACTGACTGAAAAGTTACTGAGGCTACCACTGCAAATGGCAGAACTGCTCAAAAGGCTGCCATCACTCACAGCACTTAGTTCATTATCAACCACAGCACTGCTGTCAATGTCATCCTTCAAGACACGAGCAAACGAAGACACATCATCACCATCAGCCAAGACACTGCAAGACGGAAGACATCCACTGTACCTTGTTGGCTGCAGCGAAATCTGTAGACAGCTGCTCTTTTTATTAACATTTTCAGATGCAGGAACAGATGATCTTTCCTGAGCCTTAACGCTTTCCTTTATTAATGGAGCTAGGGCAGTCTGTCTGGGAGTCAGCTTCATTTGCACCACGTTAGACGCTGAAATCCGTGTTGGTTTTTTGAAGCACATGTGGACATGGCTATCCAAATCATCTCCGGAGGTCTCTGACAAAGGGTAAGTATTACTTCTTCTGGCTGCAAAGTGCAATCGTAAGCTTTGTGCCATTTGTTCTCATTTCCAAACATGTTAAGGGCTGAAAGTCATAACAAAGATCTCTGTCGGGAGACAGGCTAGAAGCAGCTGCACCGCAGCAAAAGAAAAAATCATTGGTGGTGCCTGAAAGAGCCACGAAGCAGTAGCCTTTACCCTCAGTAAACCATTAGATACCAGATATCACAGGAGGAAAAAGACGGCCCATTCCTGAGACTGACGATTCCAAAATGTCTTGAATCGCTTGTAGTCAAAATGCCTTCACTTACAAAGCACTCGATTTCCAGCGACCTTTAAGCTGAGCTCAGCTGCAGCACACTGACTCAAACACAGCCAACCTTGTTTCAATTATACCTTCTCCAATTTGCATGAATGAGTAACACAAGAACAACAATCTTCTAGCATTTCAAGTCGAAACAGTGTTTTTTCACCCCAGCTCTACTAAATGAACATTTAACTCTGTGAATCACAGTGCATTTACCTTCTCCAGCAGTTTGGCCACTAATATTTTTACCCAAAGGTATAGAATTACAGGAAGTTGGTAGGAATGAAAGCCCATGTAATTGAGTATCAAATCAAAGATTGAATTTCCAAATAGTAGCCATACTAGGAATCTAGTCAAGTTAGTTAATGTAGAAAGAACCCGGGCTGTTAACAAACGTTTAACAAGAAAATTCAAACAGTTGTATAAACTTGGAAACACCCAAACTTGGGGAGTGAATTAAACTTTTAGCATTAAATCAAACAGATAAGTACTTCAGCTTCCAAATACCAGTTATAAAAAGCGAAAGCTTAAGGATTACATTCTGAAACCAGCCTGGTAATGCTATTGTAAGAATGGAGCATAGGTCTGAGAAAAAAAAAAGTTTGAGAAGCTGTCACCAAGCATTTTCTGCTGAAATTTTAAGCTCTTTTCGAGCCAAGTGGTACAGTCTTTAAATGATGCCGTTCGTATTTTGACTATTAAAACTCTGCCAAGAAACAGCCTAAGCAAACATTCCTTTCAAAATATATGCAGATTAGGCAGAAGAACTATACCCCAATATATTCTGAGCACATAGGATATTTTATTCTACTGTCTCTGCAATCCATTCACTTACAAGAGTGCTGTGGTAAGTAAAGAAGTCTAAAAAGGATTTAACACATCAAATAAACATATCTCAATGCCAATTCTGTTCTGAAAAACTCTTAAGAGCTCTTTGCTGGCCCCTACTGGTGCCTTGAAACAATCCATTTAGCAGTGTGATATCTATAAAGAAATACAAGCCATGCTACGTATTTCTTTATATAAACAAAGTACATATTTGTTTACATTTCTGAGGACTGGCACTGCCCTACAGGTGGAATTGCTGGCGCTGATAAAACTCCCACAGTAGAGAACAGTGGACTGTCTGTTTCTTTTAGAGGTTGTGATTTTGTACATATATTTTTTCTACTTTGTATTTATTTAACCTTTATTTTAAGTTTATTAGGCAATAAAAGTTTAATATTTTAATTTCTCTCCCAAATGTCACAGACCAAGCTTGGTATTCTATTTGAAAGAAACAAATTTATTTTTAAATAATACTCTAGGGTATATTTAAACCCCTTACCTGAATTTTATAGCTGGAACTCCAGTAATAAATATATACTGGCTCATTCATAGGAAAGTAAAAAGCAAAATAGTTCAGCTGTTTACACCACATGCTACTACACCCAAGTTGTATTTTTCTAAGTCAGTTTTTTTTTCCTAAGTAAAAGCAAATATGTAAAACATATACTCACACTTTGTTTAAAAAAAGAAAACTGCTTAAGCTAGACCTGTTTTCAATCAAAACTTTCTACATGGTATTTTTAATCAATTAAGATCACAAAATAGAAATCTGGGAATTTATCAAATTACATCTAACCGGAATGAGATACTACTGTGTTTTAAAGTGCGGATAACAGTTTGTGAACTTAGTTATACAATTATTACCTTATTTAGGTTTTACATGACCTACCTCCTTTATGAATTTTACAGATTTCGGTAAATATTTCCTTATCGCTTTTATTTTATAAAATATTCTTTTTTTATTTTTTTTTTTTATTTTTGACAGGCAGAGCGGACAGTGAGAGAGAGAGACAGAAAGAAAGGTCTTCCTTTTGCTGTTGGTTCACCCTCCAATGGCCGCCGCGGCCAGCGCATGGCGCTGATCCGAAGGCAGGAGCCTTCGGATGTTTCTCCTGGTGTTTCTCCTGGTCTCCCATGCGGGTGCAGGGCCCAAGCATTTGGGCCATCCTCCACTGCACTCCCGGGCCATAGCAGAGGGCTGGACTGGAAGAGAAGCAACCGGGACAGAATCCGGCGCCCCGACCAGGACTAGAACTTGGGGTGCCAGCGCCGCAGACGGAGGATTAGCCTATTGAGCTGCAGCGCTGGCCCTTATCAGATCAAAGAGCCCTGATATTTTATTTTGCCTTCAAATGACTTCAGCATTTCTTCTTGGACTAAGTTAGGGGTCTAATACCTTATAGAATGAATCACTTCCACCTAGGCTGATCAATGAGATACAAATGCTCATGCCTGTGGCCTAAAACTTCCAGTTAATGAGATCTTCTGATTATTAATATAAAGTAATGAATTCCAGGTATCTGTCCGGGTGCATGGCAAGCCGTTCTTACAAGCATCAGCTTCGTGTCCCTTAAGTAGGTTTTAAGTTTCCAGAGTGCAATGCCATAACAGAGTACCATACCATAACTATACATTTCTCCTGATCCTCCTGAGCTTGTGTGGGGCCCCAAAGCAAGTGCCTACTCACACCAGACAGAAGGCTAGAAGTATGCTTGCATGCATGATGTCACCGTGGCCACTCTGACTGCCCAACACTTTCTTTCAGAAATATATACATATACACACACACAGATGGACACACACACACACACATACATTTTGAGGGTTAATCTAGCTGTGCTATGTCCAAAGAAATATTCAAAATCTCTGCACCGGGACAAAAAAGAATGATGCTTGCAAAACTGACTGAGAGGAGGGCTTCTGCCAAGAAAAAGTAAGGTTAAGAGCATCACAGGTACTTTCAAGTCCTCCAAGTAAGAGTTTAAATTGCAGAGAGGTTGAAGAATTTGTTAGGCTGTCTCAGATCTGGAGTGGCACAGGGTCTGTACCATTCTTACAGGGATCTGCAGTCAAAGTAGCCACTTATCCAGGAGATGCCAAAAGACTGGCTAGTGAAATGGAGACTATCTTAGAATTCAAGCTCCTGGGGCCGGTGCCGTGGTATAGAGGGTAAAGCTGCTGCCTGCAGGGCTGGCATCCCATATGGGTACTGGTTTGAGTCCCAGCTCCTCCTCTTCCCATCCAGCTCTTTGCTATGTCCTGGGAAAGCAGTAGAGGATGGCCCAAGTCCTTGGCCCCTGAACCTGTGTGAGAGACCCAGAAGAAGCTCCTGGCTCCTGATTGGCACAGCTCCAGCCATTGCAGCCAACTGGGGAATGAACCAGCGGATGGAAGACTTTTCTCTCTCTCTCTGCCTCTCATTCTCGTTCCGTGTAACTCTTTCAAATAAACAAATAAATCTTAAAAAAAAAAAAAAAGAATTCAAACTTCTGACCCAAGAGTCTTAGCTATTTGGTTGTTGACTGTTTGCCAAAAAATAATGTGGTATGGTTAAGCTCTGGGTAAGCCTAATGATTGAGCAGAACTATGAAGGCCAAAACCCACTGTGATGGTGAATGCTATGTGTCAACCTGGCTAAGCTATGGTGCCCAGATGCTGCTGTGAGGGTCTTTTTAGATGTGATCCACATTGCAATCAGAGGAAGTTACAGCAAGCAGATTGCCTCATCCAATCAGTGAAGAGCTTCAGAACAAAGTCAGAGCTCTCCCAAGAAATAAGCAATACTGCCTCTCGACTCAACACAGAAAACCCTGCCTGGGTCTCCAGCTTCCTCTGCTGCCCTTTAGATTTCCGACTCCAGTCTGAAACATTAATCTTTACTTATCTGAATCTGCAGCCTGCCTGTCACTAACTTGTGTACTGGCGGGCAGTTTTATTTAAAGGCACACCTTTCTGAAATGTCCCATCTCTATGAACAGAACCACCACTATCGCCACTACCAACTGACTATAATCCTCACGCCTTAAAACGGGCTGGAAAAAAAAACCAGGAATACATCAGCCTACTCTTTCTTGAAAGCAAATATCGCTTATATTGCAAATGTTTTCCAGATGACTAGAAATTGTCTCTGTTTAAAATTGTATCTGTGCTCCTCACTATACATTTCCAAAGAGAATTTGCAAGGAAAATGATATGTCCTTAATTTGGCTGGAAACGCCATAGAATAAAGACAGTGGCATAGAGGCTATAGTTGCTACAAAGTCTCAGGTGATCTCTATTTCAATTACCGGCTAGGACTGGAAACAGAAAACTAGACTGACACACACCTTCCAATTTTAATGATCTCTGGCTCCCTTTGGCTGGTAAAGTGAGATCCTTAAGAAAATTCTATTTCTAATGCATAGCAGAGCATTTAATACAATAGATGCAAATAGCATACTTAGTGAACACAAAAAATGTGGCATCTGAGAGCTTTAAATGCATACGTCCATGAATGTTAGGCAACACTTGACAACTGTATCATGATGAATTTTCCAAGTGCTTTCACAGTCACTATATCATCATAATACACTTTTCAGATAAGCAAGGAAAATGCTGTTATTTGCTTTTAGAAGAATTGAATGATTTGTCTAACAGAGGCAGAACTTTAAAAGAATGCTTTGGAGGGGTAATCCATAGTATCTCGACTGATACATTTGGTCAAGTACATGAGGAGACACAGCAGGTATGTTTATCAACTAATAGCAAAAACAAACAAACAAAACTCACAAAATATCAAAAAACCAAAACTAGAAATAATAACACTCCTGTCTATTAAGAAGGATTAACAAATGATGGTATTATGATGCTTGCTGATGATGGACAATTGTGCATAGGTGAAAATGTGTCATAATGGGACAATCTCACAAATGCATCATTAAGCAAAAACATGATGGGAAAGGCATTGGGAGAGGAACGTTTTATAAATTTAAAATATGCAATGAAATGTTTTTAGTGATTTACATGTGGGTTTTATGGAACTTTGTGGAAAATGGAATTAAAAGATAAGTGTAGAGGCAATCATCTGGCCTAGTGGTTTAAGTCAGAGTACCTAGGTTTGGGTCCCGGTTCCAGCTCCTGTCTCCAGTTTCCTGCTAATACACACCATGAGAGGCATGTACTTGGGTCCTGGCCAAACACACAGGAGACACGAATGGAGACCCTTACTCTTGGCTTCAGGCTATCTATCGCTACTTCGGACATTTGGGGAGTGAACCAGTGGATGAGAGCTCTCTTTCTTTGTGTTCTCTTTCAGTGACTCTCAAGTAATAAAAAAGAAGACAAATTTATTTTGGTGCAAAAAAATTTGAAATGTATGCATAGATTTTTAAAAAATATTTTCTTTTTTTTAAAGATGTATTTATTTATTTGAAAGACAGAGATAGAGAGAAAGAGAAAGAGAGAAAGAAAGAACAAGAGAAAGAGGGAGAGAGAGAGAGAGAGAGAGAGAGAGAGAGAGAGTGATCTTCCATCCACTGGTTCACTCCCCAAATGGTGGCAATGGCTGGGGTAGGGCCAGTCCAAAGCCAGGAACCAGGAGCTTCTTCCTGGGTCTCCTCTGTGGAATGACAGGGACCTCAGGACTTGGGCCATCTTCTACTGCTTTCCCAGATGCATCTGCAGGGAGCTGGATCAGAAATAGAGCCGCTGGGGCCTGAACCAGTGCTCATTTGGCTCACAGCACTGCAGACAGCTGTTTAACCCACTGTGTCACAGCGCCAGCCCAATATTCATTTTCCATGGCTTTTTGAAGTCCCCTCATATAAAAAGGTTCAGTTTTGCCCCCCAAATAAATGTATCATTTAATTCTATTTCCCATAAACTTTTTGAAGACATGTATGACTAAAAATATTTCTAAAAGCAAAGAAATTGTAAGCAAAATTCAGGACAGTGGCTACCATTCGTGGAGCATGAAAAGGTGATACTATGGATGGGTGGGGGGAGACAAGGAGGGCCTCAAAGGTGCTGGGAATGTTCCAGTCCCTAAGCTGAGTAGTAGGCATACAGATCGTTGTCTTCACATTCAAAGTCAAAATTTGTTAGACAAACTTCATGATATGAAAAGAAAACACCAATACTAAATTTCACCTGGTCCCATCTAGAAGGAAAACAGACCTGCAGAAATGGAGCGGGGGCGAGGGAGGAGGGAGATGTTGCCTATCCTATATAAAAAGAGAAATGCAAATAGAAAACAAAATTGTTGCCACTGAAAACAGCTGATAACCGAATCACTGACAGCTATCACTAGGCCATAAAAAAAATCACATGGCCAGCCCGTGATGAATTCTCTTTGGACAGCAAAAAGTACTCTTGTTTATTCGTTAAAGAGTTCACTGACAATATTTTCATTACTAGGACAATTCCTGTTTTTGGAAGTGGGGGTGAGTACGTATGCTAACACTAAAAACAGACTCTTTTGAAAAATTCAGGGT